GGAATTTTTTCTTTGGAATGTTTGTTTTGTTTGCACTTAGTTTTTTGTTTTTTAATGAAACTACGTAACTTTATTGACATCAAATAAACATTATCGGCAAGTTGGGCAAAGCTCACGAAGACAAATTTAGGCTAGATGTTTCTCGAAAGTACAAAAAACAATCCGTATGAGAAAGTTGGATCAAAACTTTAGTTGCATGTCTACCCTCTTCCTACCGCTTTCAAATGTAAAAAGAGTCTCAAATGCAAGTCAAAGATGTCAAATAGATAAACAATAAACTCAGCAAAACAAATAATCGAGCAAGTTGATGCCAAAAATGGTGTCCGGAATCGATAAGAAAAATTAGTGGAGGCTAAGCGCGACGAATTGTACGTGGAACGGCGCGTTCTTCTCGCTGACATTCAACAGGAATGTCTGTTGTTTTTTGCCGAAAGTCTTTACAAAGTAAAAAGTCTTTGGGAAATACTTGATACGTCGCGTTTCCGAGGAGTTCTTGTAGGCGGCGACGAGGCGAGCGCGTATTTCGCCTCTTTCGGCGGGCGATAGCCAAACGCTCTCGGCGCCCGCCTCCTCAAAAAGCTTCCTCAACGAGCGCAAATGAGTGTGGCGATGTTTCTCCGGATCGGTGTGCTGAGCGGTGTCGATGTGGTGAGCGATCAACGCCGGCGAGTCGCCGATGCCCTCTTCGAGCACTTTGTTGACGAGGCCTTTGAAGAGAAACCATTGCAAGTCCTCAATGAAAATCGTTCCCGAACCAGGTGTCGACATGAAGACCCAGTAGTATTTTGAGGCGCTGCCCCAGAAGAAGCACGAGCGCTTTTCGAAGAGCGTCGAGCAGTAGGCGGAGATCTCGGCGTCGTCTCCTCGCAACACCTCAACTTGCAACGAGTTGTGGATTGCTGGGCGAAAGGTGTCGAAAATGGTTTTCACGACGTCCAAAGTGCTCTCGACTTGCACATTGTTGATCGTTTTGAGGCCGGGGAAAAAGCGTGCCTCCTTTTTTGCCACCTTGAGGACTCTCTCCAATTGTGGGGTGCCCGAGCGGACGATCGAGTCCAGGTGGGGGAAAACGGGCTTTGTCCAAAGGGGAATGAGCAGCAAATCGACGTGCTCGATCGAGCGCGTGAGGCGCCAGAGACGGCTCGGTGATCCATCAAAAAGGTGGTGATTTACTTCAATTGTGTCCTTCTCTTGGTGCGTCTTGAGCTTGATCGGCACTCGTTTCCCTCGCCACGCCACACTAAGCGTTACCTCGTTGGAGAAATCGGCGACCAGCGAGATTTGGTCGACTTTTTTCGGGAATGGCCCATGAGAGAAAATGAGGCACCGAGGCGCGTAGGCCGTTCTCAGCAATCGCAACAGAGCCTCGATGTCGAGAAACGAGAAACACAACAACTTCAACTCGTTGGGCAGCCTGTTGAAAGAAATCCGTTTCGAATAAAGACCGAGAAATGGATGGGGTTTGCGTTTCGAATAAATTTCCAACGTCATTTTGAAAGAAAGGAGAGCGTTGAGGCCAAATAAACGCTGAAAACAGAAAACTCAAATCTTTGTCAGCCGGCTTTTGAAAAAGAATGACGCAAGGAAAAGCGGGGAGTACTCCCTGCTACTCCCCACTACTTCCCGCTTTTCCTTGCGTCATTCTTTAGTACTCCCCGCTTTTCCTTGCGTCATTCTTTTTCAAAAGCCGTCTGACAAAGATTTGAGTTTTCTGTTTTCAGTGGGTGTTCGGTGGGTGTTCCACGGTTCCAAAGTTGAAAAATATCTACAGCAACGTGTTGAAAACATGAAACTCGTCCATTCCCTCCGTTGATCCCTGATATATGTATTGACAGAGTAGATCGGACTGAAGAACTACCGAGATGACTTTCCCTGGAAAGCCTCTTTCAAAAAGGGTTCTGACGGACAAAAACTATTTGAAAACGAGATTTTTCAAAGAGCTCCTGGACAAACCAAGGCCCATTCAAAGAGACCTTGGTTTGTCCAGGAGAGGCCTCTCGATTGAGGGCCAGCAAAGTGTTTGGCTACTTTTTTTACTTCTTCCATTTCCCCCACCGACAGGTATAAGCTCATCTTGCAAAAGGTTTTTTTTGGCTTGAAATGCTCGAAAACTGTGAAATAGGGTCATGTTGAAATAGGTCCAAAGTTTGAGGCCAAAAAGAAAAGAGAGAATTTCAGAAGAGATTTTCGGTGAGTGACTTTTATCGTTGTGAATCACGCTTTTGAACATTGTCTAAACACGTAGTAGACAATTTTTTAGATGGATATCTTGAAAGCTTACGGAGCAATAGAGAAAAAGACGCGCTATCAAAGAAAGGTTTATGATTTTCAACGATTCGCTCGGAATCGTTAACGGAACATTTTTGATTGAAATATTTCTGAAACACAACAAAATTGTCGTCACATTAATTGGAAGCTTATTGAAAATAAAGTAAACAAAACCGTTGAAATAAACTTTAAAATACCTCATAAATAAAGGCCATGAGGCCAAAGGCCATGAGGCCATGAGGCCATGCCAAGTCGGTCCAAAAAGATAATATTGTTTTTATCGTGGATTGATTGAAACATATAATCGTGAAGTCAGATATAACCAAAAGAATATATTGCCAAATTCTTCAAATTCTCACTGGTTATAGTGTCATTTGATGAATTAATGTCTTAAATCACAAGATGTTTTATGATTTATCTCCTGCAAATTCAAAGTTTTAAGTTGTACATAAACCTCTCAGGTCTTTGCAATATTTGTACCATTCTATCAAAAAAGATATTCCTTTTTTGGTTCTCCGACTTTTGAAAGTATTGTTCTATTAGGCTGTTCAGAAAGTCTTTTTGTTCCTTTTCCTACTCCCGTTTAAAATCAACAAATACACCAATTGAACTACGATTTGTTTCATTAGAAAAACCTATTATGTTTGTGATTTTTGCTTTCTACTTGAGAGAATTTTTAAACTCATAAGGCGTCAAAAGGTTCAAATTCAATTCAAAACTTTCAAAAGCTTTCAAAACTTTCAAAAGCTTTCGATTAAAATCGTAAACTGTAATCACTTGGTCTCATAGTAATATTTAAATATTTATTATCAAATTATTTGCCAATATTTTTGCTAAGACTCATTATAAGTTCATTTTTTCGTTGCATGATTTAACTTTTGAATTGTTCAAGTTGCCGAATCTCTCCTTCTTTTGCAAGAGTGCTCGATGGTTGCATCAACTTGCTTATTTGAGCGCCATTTTTTTCCAGAAATTATTGTGGATTGAGGATCTAAATTGAATAGTTATGAAAATGTTTGACAAATTTGGCTCTTTGTCATAGTGAAGAATTTGGCAATATATTCTTTTGGTTAAGCCTGGCCAAGTCGGATCACATTTGTGCTACTTTACAGCTTAAACCAAGAGCGAAGTAAAATAAAATTGGATTGTTTTTTTGCATTGATTACAATCAATTGATTGTAATTACAATTTGATTTGACTTGGCTCTTGGTTTAAGCTGTAAAGTAGCACTCTTGGTTTAAGCTGTAAAGAAGAATCAGTCGGAAATGTGATCCGACTGATTCTTTCCGTTGTTGATGCAGGAAATAGATGTGAGTCCAGTAGAACACCAATAAACAATCGTCAAAGCATTGTCATTTCGCTTTTATTGAAAATCAGTTAAACAAAAGAGGCTAATAATTTGTAAGAAATGGCTTTTGTAAGAGATTTATTAGATAATCAAGAGAAATTTGCACTTTTTTTATATACATAGGTGAAGAGGATAACATATAGTCTTCCCCTTTTTACCCACTCTGCACACATTGCCATTTTGCTAAAGTAAATGGAAGACAAAAGTCTATAGGTCATGTTCCCCCAAATCTTTTATTTCCGGTATCATTGAATCAAGAGTACGTGACGTGAACTGATTCACTTTCTGGTTCTTTATGTGATATAAGTTTAAAATGTTTTCACTGCAAAGTGTTTGCAAAAGTATGAATCATCAATTGTATCTAAAAAAGGTTCACAACAAGAGTTTCCTTGCGAATGAAATAGCGATTCGAATTGTCTTGCGCAACTTAAATCAAGAATTTAAACAGAAAAATCAAGGAAACTTTATCATTTTCTAATATTTTTGTAATTTTGACTTATTGGAAGTTGATTATTGTTTCATTTAACAACAATGTCCGCAAAATCGAAGAAAATTGTCGTCGTTGGAGACGCGATTTGCGGAAAAAACGCTTTAATCATCACCTTTATGACAAATGAATTCCCAAAAACCTGGGTTCCGACAGTCATCGAAAACTATTCAAAAACGATTACCATTGATGAGAAACAGATTGAGCTTAATATCGTAGCAACAAACGGAATTGAAGATTATGATCGTTTACGGCCACTAGCCTATCCGCACACCGATGTATTTCTATTGTGCTTTGCCGTCAATTCACCGCTTTCGCTCGAAAATGCTCTACAAAGATGGTATCCTGAAGTGAAAAGTTTTTGTCCTGATGCGGCGATTGTTTTGGTGGGAAACAAAAGTGATCTGAGAACTGATTCGCATACGATAGTGACATATGATCAGGGAAAATTGTTAGCTGATCAAATCGGAGCATTCGCTTATTTAGAGTGTTCAGCGATGAAAAATGAGGGAGTTGGGGAAGTTTTTGAGACGCTTGCAAGGGCTTCTTTGCCAAAAAAGAAAAAGAAGAACAAGTGCCGGATAATGTGATGAAAGAAAATGATTTTCAACTAGCTGTACAAATTTACTGCTTTACTTAATAAATTCTCTACTATTTTATCTAAAGTACATCTCATTTTTGTCCTAAAACAACATAGCTCAAAAATGAAGCCGATGTTTGACGCTGGTGAAGATCATTGAAACACTGGCGGTCATTTGTTTGTTAACATCACACATTATGATAGCAAAAGAATTTTTCTGTTTACTCTGAAGGTCTGAAAAATTGTGCCAAAGAAATATAAAAGTCGTGTTTTGCTTTATTTTTACTTTTCCATTTCCAAACTTTTACTTCTGCGGAATGAACTTCGAAAGTTTTCCTCAATTTCTTCTTTTGATTTTCTCTGGTAAGTGAGTTTTTCCAGATTGAGCATTTATTTACTTCAAAACAGTTCATCCAACAAGTCTAATTCCAGGTTTTTCCTTGATTGTGGCTCAATATGGTGGATATAATGGGAAGACGTATCCATCTTCTTCAATTGGATCGACAGGGATGGGAAACATGGGAAATTCCAATCAATATCCGAACTCCTTGTCAAGTAAAAAGTAAGTAAACTCTTGATAATAATAAAATTGATTTTATGATGCAGACTTTGAGTAAAACGTTTACCCAGAAATCAGTAGTTTGGTCTAATTACACGCTTAGAAACTTCTAATCAGTATGCCCAGAGTTTTGCTCCAACAAGAGTCTATCAGTTTTTTTAAAACAAATAATGGTTTATTTGGACAATGAATAGTTTTTAGCCAATACACTGGAAATCAATACCCTCAGAACAGTTTGTCATCATCGTTGGGCATGAGCAACAGCAATCAACAACCGAGTTCTTCGATCAGTCAAAGCACCAATGATTACGATGGTTTACCTCCCGGTGTCAGCTATGATGTCTACTACAACTTCGGAGAGCAAGGAATGTATAGAAAATGATCTCTTTCAAATATCGCTCGTTATTTCTTTTTGATATTTGAAAATTGTGTTATGAGCTTGAATGTAATGTTTTTTAAAGTCAGAAAATCAAATATTCGAGCCAAACTAAAGCCAAACTAAAGATCTATGTCATTCAAATTCCTTTCCAATTCATTCAAGCACCGAAAAACAGTAAGCTGGCTATTATGAAGCTGAAACTTTGTTGATGTCAAAAAATCTCAATAAAAAAACGCTGATACAGCATTTAAATAAGCAGTACAATTCAATAAATCGGTACATTAGATTTGTTTTTATTACATTTGAGAAATTAGCTAGATATTCGTCAATGTAATACTCTGGGAATAGAGAAAAAAGTGATAGGAAACGGATGATGAAAAGCTGAACCGGTGATGAATGGTGGTAAAACTTGGATCAATCGATCGGTTTACCGCTAATGTGAACTAGAAAAGCAGGGCATTATTTGCTTGCTAAGCATTTTGTTCTTCTTTTTGCTGAAATTTGAATTAAACCAGAATTCCGGATAAGTGAAATTTAACCAAAAATAATACCGCACATATCAGTTTCAATATTTCTACAAGAATAATTAGAAAAATCTCATAAGTTGTCGTGAAACGCATTATTGAAAAGATTTTGTGTCACAATATTCACAACCTGCGATTCTGAGAACCAATAGCTGGGAGGCGAATCAAAGCAAAATGAACTGTAAAAAAATTCTCTTGGTATATAGTTTCTAAATTACTCCTGAAAGCAGTAAATCATCGGGATTTTGGCCAAAACTTGGGCGATACGAATGAGGGCTAAAATGAGCATCAAGGTTCGCACCGAGACGCTTGTTTGCACCGAGACGCTTGAAACAAACGATTGCGTTTGTTTGCACCGAAGAAAGAATAGGAGGATTGCGTTGGAAAAGATTATAATTAGTGAATTCTAAATGGTTATATTGAGTTGGGAGTATGAAATAATGCCGACTTTCAAAGTAACTTCTATAAAATCAAGTAGTCTTTATCAAATGACATGGGTAGTATCATTAGAAAGGTCACTTATTTCTCTACAAAATCATTTCTGAAATAGAACTCAAAAAGCGCCCCAATTCAAACAGCAATAATTTTTTCAGAAAATCTATAAATCGTCATTTAGAGAAAATGACTGACGAGATTACTACAAAAATTTGGTTACTTATGCAATTCAATGTGCTCTAACTTTTTTGGTTATAACTTCAAGTTAAGTTTATGTGTAAGAAACGAGTCAAACGACGAATCGGATTCCTTGTCATTTTGACTTGTTCCTTGTCATTTTGCCCATAAAATCCACAAAACAAAAGCTTTACGGAATCTCTCAAAAGCCATTTTATAGAACAATAATAGGCCTTTTCGATTATACAAACAATAAATTAGAGCTTTTATGCGTTCCAGAAAAATCCTTGAAAGTTGGCGTGGTTCCATACCCGCCAACCCGATAACTTTTAAAGGACGTCACATTTATTTGAGTATAATGCTTTTATTAAATCTTTTTTCTAACATTTCAACTGAAATCAAATCAAAAGACTTTCGTTTCAAAGAAAAATATGGATATTCTGATCAGGCCAAGCCAAACCCAAGCCAATCTTTTGGCTTTGGCTTGACTAAGCTTGGCTTTTTACTTTTCCAGCCAACCCTGGTTATTGCCAAAGGAAACTATGGTGGATCTTCTAAAATTTTATGGATCTTTTACCGTAATCAATGCTAATGCGTGTGACTCTATCAACCTAAACAATGGCCGAAACTACCGTGGCCGTAACCAAAAAAGGCTTGGCTTGAATGAATTCAGTGAAATTTGAAAGTTATTAAGCTATTGGTATTCAATCGCTTACAAAACTTACACTCGAAAGGATGATCATCACAAGAGGCCGATTCAACTTAACAAAATATCTGAGCAACAAAGGTCAGTTTGCTTTTAATCTACAATTGGAGATGTCATCTGTCCTGTTAAGATTAGAATTTTGGATTCTAAAAGATCAATCTATATCATAATTGTTCATGAACTAGAGATTCAACAAAGAAAGGTATCCACAAAGAATTTGGACACCGAAAAAACTAAAACCAAATGCAATCAAGTGGAAGATGGGGATGATAGTGAACTCGATTGCTATTCTCGATGTCGATTCGAATTGATTCGGATATTTTGGAGCTGAATCACTGAAACAACATCTAGGACGAATTCAAATGCCTTCTACAATCGTTGTCCTATTTCGCTACAAATGATGATTTGAGGGGTTTTCAGCTCTGTGAACAGTCAATATCACGTAAATCAGAATCATCGAAACCAACAACATTATTTTTTCCTTGAAATCTAGATATCAATGCTTTCTAGAGAAATCGAGAACCCTGGGAAGTCTGTAAAAAAAAGAAAAAGACTGTCAAGACTGTGTGATTGAGAAGAAACAAAATCAGAAAATCAAAAAGAAAATAGAAACAAATCAGATATGGTACTGATAAAACTGATAAAACACTGATACTTGATAAAACATGGAAGCTTGACGAGGGCTTTTCTAAACATGAACAGTTGACTAAATGCTGTTCTGTATATACCGTAACTCCAATATTTGAAGACCACTTTGGGTTTTTCGTGATCCAGATATGGTAACCAAAATTTTAAAAGTTTAAAACGGAAATTTTAGATAGCTTTGTTGTTATCAAACTTTGTTTCAGGTCGTGCTGAACTCAAAATTCATTGGAGCGAGATTAGTGAATTTTGATCTTTCATAAGACCATTTTTCAGGAGTTGAATAAATTCTATTTCCGCATTGTTCTGTTTCTCATGGTGATCCAGCTATTTGAAATTTTAATGTGTCCATTTTCTCTTTCATTAAATATGAAGGAAAATTGTTTTAGAACTCTGTATTTGAAATTATTTTTGTTCAATTGAAATGCTTATAAATCATATAACAAAATTTGCATTCATTCAAGGTGTCGTGCTGTTTTGTTTCTTGCAAATGAGCGATGGGATTAATGGACTCCAATTTTTTGTCGCCCACAACCCTCCATCCATACCGTTACCGCAATTGTGTGATTGCATCTGAAAATTCAAATTTTACGGCAACTTCGCAAGAAAGAATACTGTATTTTTCAAAGTTTACACCTTTTAGAAAACAAACTCTACAAAATTACCGTGATAAATGATCCGTTAGTCGGATTGGCAAGTGCTGAAAAAGTAGCGATTCGATTAGCATCAAACATCAAAGTTGAGGCTAAAAGTATCTTTTTAAAAATAACAAAAAAACAACAATAAAAACAGAGTTTGATCAATTCGAAGCCAAGCAAAATTCGCTAACACCTGTTGTTTTTAAAACTTTTTCTTTTACTTGAAAAATCCCATGACATTCCCAAGAGTGCCGTTCCCGGATAAAATCCATTTTTAGCTACGCAATCTGTATTGTAGATCAAATCTGAATATAGAAATTTAAATTTAAATAAATCGATTCAAACATCGGACAAAAGTGTGTTCAGCAAGATTTGTGATTGTTGCAGAAGCGGCTTTATACGTGACTGAACAATTTGTCGTGACTGGAACTTTCTGGAAAGGTGATCGTTTTACAAAAATGCTAACAAACTACCGCATAACATCTTCCGTCAAAAGCTGTCCATGTTACGGATGGATTCGTTGTGTTAGTACAAGTGATCGTTGTTAGATTGGTTGTAACATTGAACGGGTATGATGGTGCATTATTACAAGATGAGCATAAAGAGAATTGATAAGGACCGGGCGAGGTTGGGTATGAACAATACAATGGGAGACCATAAGCCCCAAGAGTGTAGCCTAGAAAATAAAGTTTAAAATGATTAAAATTGCATTCTAATAGTGATTGATTAATCTATTAGGTTGGCCAATAAGTCTTTGGACATTTCATTTAAAAAGCTATTTAGAAAGAATCAATTCACCGATTGACCTACAGTTTGCTTCATTCGAAAGGCCTAATATTTTTCTACAAAATAACGTTTAAATCTTATGAAAATGTTTTGTCTCTGGATTTTTATGTTAGGCACTTTGGACCACAGAAACTTATGTTGGTGCCAATAGAAAAATGATAGAGCATAAAAAGTTAGGCATAGAATCAAACTTTCAGAATAATCTGTTCAGAATTCTTTGTAGAGCCTTTTTATTGTTTTACGAAAATTTGAACTTGAATTTGCACTTGAATTTGCTGCAGAATCGACTCAAATTAGCTTAAAAAGATAAAAAAGAACGAAAAACAATTTCTATTTGAAGCAACCATTGGTCGGTTGGTGAACTTTTCGTTTATAAATGCTATTATAAAAAGTAACCAAAAGACTTATCTAACCTAATAGTACCAGGTACAAAATTCAAAAAAATTACTAACTTGATTGGAGTACTTAGCCACAATAAATGCCATTTCTTCGTCATTTCAAACATGACTCACTCGTATTCGCGTAATTGAATCCTTTGCAGCCGATAGCTGTTTTCTCCAATTGTACGCAACCATGGGCACAAAGTTGAAAGTCAGAGGACGAAAAGTCGACCATTTGATTGGTGTTTTGTGTGAAATAATATGACTGGCCTTTAAGGCATCGAAAAATCAACAGAAAGAAGAAAATCATCTTTCAAAGATTCAAAGGAAATGGGAATTCTTAAAAATGTGAAATGAATATGAATAGTTTTTTTTGATTGCTTTAGCCGATCGCCAAGGTTACCCATGGCAAGCCCTCAGATTTGAATCTGACGTTTGAAATTGACACATTTGAAATGTAAAGTGTCTGTCTATTATCTGCCGTTCAATAACTTGAAAACATTACCATCTAGATTATTATAAAATTTATGTTTGGTTAAAATAAAAAGCTATAATTTTAAGCTAATAACGGCTAATCGATGTAAATTTCATATGCATTGACTCAATAAAAACATTTTCTGGCTTCAATTCGAAGATCTTTTATTCTTTAATAGAATTTTCGAAAACACCTTGCAAACGGTTAAACTAAATACGCTAAATTTTCCAAAACCAA